AGAATCCTCTGGTCTTTAACGGGCCTCAGCAGTGATGTTGGTATCTCCCCGTTCACCAGTAATGTGCCACACTCCTGTCCTCAGGCCTCTTTAACCCCCCCTGGCGGTATTCCTGAGTGTAGCTCGGGGTAAAATTTCAGTATCACAGGCGGTAACCCCCCCGAGCTACACTCGGGCTTACCATGCGGCGTTGCATAGGGATTCCCTGCAGCGCTTACCTTGTCCTGCGCTCCCATGATTTCCCCCCTGCAGCGTCCCCGTCTATCTCCTCTGGCCGATTCCGGCTTCTGTGTTCCGGACCCTGTGACGTCGGGACGTACGGGCGCCGTTCCGGCGGGAAATTTGAAAATTTTTTAAATGTCATTTTTTTTTCTAAACAAATTTTACATGGTAAAACATTGCTATTTCAAACCATTTCACATACATTGTGTCTAGAGATGAGCGAATTATTCAAAAATTTGGTTCGGCTGATTCGCCGAATTCGCCGAATAAATTCGTTTCGAGTCGAATATATTCGCTGCGAATTTAACTTATAAAAAGGGTGTTTCTAGGCTTCAGAGAGCCTTTATATTAGTGCAGAACACTGTACCTTTAATTTAAATGCCCTTGGAGTCTGCTGGGGAAGAGAAACAATACTGTCAGTCAGTATGACATGCAGATGAGTGCCGTCGATCTTAGAATCACCGCACACTTCACTCATTTGGGCAGTCACGGGGCCAAAACCAGAGTGTGGAGCCACAGTGTGGCGGTGGAGGCAGCAGCAATGGGAGGCCATACAGCACCCTATGACAAAATGGAAACCAGCAGCAGTGTGAGGAGACCTGAAAGTGGCACATGGCAGAGTGGGAGCAATGGGAGGCGGTACAGGGGCCCATGACACACTGTGGACCTGGCAGCAGCGTGAGGAGGCGGTACGGGGGCCCATGGCAGATTATGGGCCTGGCAGCAGCAATGGGAGGCCATACAGCACCCTATGACAAAATGGAACCCACCAGCAGTGTGAGGAGACCTGAAAGTGGCACATGGCAGAGTGTGGCGATGGAGACAGCAGCAATGGGAGGCCGTACAGGGACCCATGACACACTCTGGACCTGGCAGCAGCATGAGGAGGCGGTACAGGGGCCCATGACAGATTAAGGGCCTGGCAGCAGCATGAGGAGTCGGTACGGGGGCCCATGGCAGAGTGGCGGAGCGTAAGCAGCTAAAATTGAAGGCCATACAGAGGCCTATGTTAAAAAGTCCCCCCAGCAGCAGCGTGGGGAGACGACTATCAAGAGTCCAATGGCTGAGTGGCGATCCGGGAAGTCAGCGTTGTGATTGCAGATGCAATGCAGAAGTAACGATTCTGTGTCCCTGAGTAACGATTCTGTGGCCCTAACTCTGTCCCTTAATACACACAGGTCTGTCTCTCTTGAATGACCGGAGGCTAATGGAGAATTCTAAGATGGCCGCGATTTATAGCTCCACCATTACACAGTGCTGGCTGGCTGCTGATTGGCTAATGCGATCACATGTCATGAATGCATTATGGGTCAGCGCGCCTTGTCTGCGCGCCTTCCCAGAGATCCCCGCCCCATCTTCTCTGTCCATTTTCTCCGTCGCCACACATGTCGCCGCCATTTTTGGGAAAATTCGATTCGTGCATCCGAAGTTTGCTAATCTTCGGATTCGTCGCGAATAGAATTTTTCCAAATCTTCGGAACGAATTCCACTTCGTCATGTTCGATTCGCTCATCTCTAATTGTGTCCCGAGTGCTTTGTCCGGCGCCCTGCCTGCATTTTTACTGTTCTTTCTGCCTGGAAACTGAGAAACGTCCATGGCGTCCAAAAAGCGTCCCTTTAGGTCAGACGCGGTTTTAGACCGGCTAGAGAACAGCGATAGTAAATCAGAACCACTTGCAGAATTGAGTGATAATGATTGGTGGGGGAAATTCCTCATCAGACACTGAAAACGATTCTGCGACTTTGCTCAGCGATGTGCCAACTTGGCGCTCTATTTCACATTTCAGTGTTTTTGGTTTAAATATATTATTGAATTAAATTTATTATTATATTATTATTTTTTATGATTATTTTATTGAATTAAAGGTATTATAATATTTTTTATGATTATTTAAATTATAATTTGATTTTGTGTTTCAAATTTTATCCTCCCCGGGATGTTTACTAGACTCTTGTTCGGATAGATTTCAGGGAGTTATTCCTAAAAATTACAGCCTACAATCAAAAAAACTACATATTTCCATGCAAAAAAATGTACCGCTTTGAGCACCAAAAATCTGAAATAATCATACCGCCAGGGAGGTTAAGGTGCTCTGAAATGTACAGCCATCTCATTGTAACCAATTTTTTTTTTTTTTTTTTTTTTTTTAGAGAGAAAAAAAGATCCTCCCCATAGTGCAATAAGTCCAATAATTTATTAATAAATGTATAGCCAGAATGCCCACTCACATGTCCAAAAAGGAATTCTCCATTTAAAACCTCATGGTTTTGTTGGGTGTACCCAAATGGCATCCACGCCGGATATGATGTCACCACGCTCTGTATGCCGTTCCGACGCATTGCGTCACGAATCACGTGACTTCCCTGAGTTTTTAAATGGGCCTTATTTATTGCGCCTCAGTCTATGTTCGGAGCTGGGGTCAGTAGAGAAGAACATTTAGAAAGGCGGATTTATACAGGGTGAAGTCTTGCAGGGATTTGGTGTCACTCCAGTTGTACATAACAGGGAGCTCCATACAACCAATATAATCTGTAAATATCACACAGACAGGTGTAGGAGTTTGGGAAGAGTTCAGAGAAAATGAACGCATGTATGGTCACCCCACCTTGACCAATAAAGATTGTTCCATTCATATCACGCCTCAGTCTAGGGTCAATCGGTGCCAAGAAAGAATAAAGATTTCTGCATCAGAAGTCTTGAAAGGTTTCCTAAGAAAACCGAAACCGCACTTTACCTTGATTTCCTGGTAAGTGGAAGTCTGATATGTGGTTGGCAGGAATCCATCTCACTGATATTCACAAGGTTAGGAGTTATTAATATCGCTCAATCACTTCATAAATGGGCAAACCATCATCGGCTGGACGAGGCCACTTCTCTCACTGGAGGGCTCACATTTTGGGTTTGGGGGTCAAACATGAATTTGGGTTGAATTTGAAACATTTGCAGGAAACTTAAATCCTACAGTGTTGGTCGAGCAGGTGTTCTGGGAATTTTGCTCACACCCATCATGCCCTGTGTAAGCAGAACCTACAGTGTTGTACCCGCCAGGGTCCTGTCCGCGGCGGAAGATCTGGCATTTCTGCCAGTACCCTGCATGGCCGCAGAGGCACGCATCAGCCTCAGTTTGGTGCCATACGACCTTTATAAGGAGGCTCATCACTTCCTCAAGTTGCTGAATGATCTCTAGCTCCCCGTACCTGTGACTTCCTGATACCGACTCGGCATTATCTTGGACCTGTCTACTCTGCTTAACCCCTGATCTGACATCGGCTTGGCTAAAGGATACTCTCTCTCGCTCCTCTGTGTATGACCTCGGCTATCCCATCTGACTATGTCTGCTCTGCTTCCCACCCGGTGCCTGACCTTGGCTTGAACCGCCTATCCCCTAATCCTCTATTCCCAGAAGGGTTTGCATACCTCGCACGGGCGCACCTCACCTCCGTGCATCAGCTGTGCTCCTGGGTGGAGCACCAACAAGCACTCCTACAGGCGACCTGTGCAACTTTGGGCCAGACTCCCGCTGTCCCACTCTCAGGGGAGTCTGGAACTTAGCTGCAAGGGAAGCCCTCTCTCCAATGGCCTCCATCACCAGGTACCCGATAGTACCCCATTTTTGGTTATTGTGGGGTCAACTGTGAACAGCAGTGTGTCAGCCTTTCCGTTGCAAGGCATGTATGTGGGGAACCAATTAGATGGTACCCAAGATGAAAGAATAGCATGCAGTGACCAAGTAAAGTGGCACAATTATTATTCAGGTAAGTGAAGGTAACCGACGACACGTGGAGAATCGCGGACACTCCCTTGGCTTAACAGTTCCAGAACAATATGTGGCTCCATTCACTAAAGCAGATCCCATGTGGTATTTGGGCAACCTGACATATTTTTCCCAAATATCGCATCCCATGCTGAAAATGTCAATTCACTAACCCGTTATGCGGTATTTACCTCAAAGAGCAAAAATGCTCAATAAATACCACATAAAACATAAAATTGCGTTAAAGTCAATTCACAAAAGGAAATACATGCTTTAAATAAGTGGTGGTCCTGGTATGCAACAGTTAAAGAATGTTTACACTTCAGCTGGTTGTCAAGGATCCGGAACCTGCCGGCATCCTTAACAACCAGAAAATAACTGGTTGCTAGGGATCTGACAGCTGCTGTGTCCTTACCAACCATGACTCCTCTGCTACTAGTGGAATTCCCCGCTGATAGCAGAATATAAACAAAAGAAGTTAAAAACAGCATGGTGGTCCTCCCAATCCAGACCAGGACCTTTGGGTCTGGTACAGATTTTGAGGAGGACCCCATGTCAATATTTAAAAAATGTCCTTGCGCCCCCCCACAATCCATACTGGATCCCTATTCAAGCATGCAGCCAATCAAGCCAGAAAAGAGGGGGACAAGGGAGCATCCTCACCCCTTCCTGAACCATACCAGGCCACATGCCCTCAACATACAGGGGGTGCTTTGGGGGGGTTAACCCTATGTTGATGAGCACAATTACCTCTTCACTAGAACCCTGGTCCAGTAGTTGTGGGGAGCAGGGGGTGACTTATCGGAATCTGGAAGCCCTCTTTAACCACCTTAAGCCTGACCTATAATACAATGACAGGCGCAAGGCAGTCCTCTCATTTTGATAGGACGTCATATGACATCCTACCATTCTCATTACTCATGCGCGGCTCAGGGAGCCCTCAGCGTGGCGATCGCCAGTGCACTATGTCCCTCGGACACAGCGGATCACGGAAAGAGCCGAAGATGTCGGCTCGGTCATGTGATCAGCTGTGTCCAATCACAGCTGATCACATGTAAACACAGAAATGCCGGTTATTAGCATTTCTCTCCTCTCGAGCTGTCAGCGTGACAGCTCAAGAGGAGAGAAGAGCCGGTAATCTGTTTTCCGTGGAGGGGACATGTACACTGATCATCAGGGCACTGATGATCAGTGTGGCCCCAGAAGTGCCACGTGCCAGTGCCCATCAGTGCCACATCAATGCCACATATCAGTGCCTAGCAATGCACATCAATGCCACATCAGTGCCCATCTGAGCTGCCTTTCAATATCACCCATCAGTGCCAGTCAGTGCCACCTATCAATGCCAATCAGTGCCACCTATCAGTGCTGCCAGTCAGTGCCGCCTAACAGTGCCAGTCAGTGCTGCCTATCAGTGGGATTCATCAGTTCCATGTACCAGTGCTGCCTTTCAGTGCCCATCAGTGCCACCTATCAGTGCCCATCACTGCAGCCTCATTAGCGCACATCAGTGAAGGAGAAAAATCACTTATTTACAAAATTGTATAACAAAAACTAAGAAAAAATGTTTTTTTTTTTTTCAAACTTTTGAGTTGTTTTTGGTTTGTTTAAGAAAAAATAAAAATCCGCGAGGTGATTAAATACCACCAAAAGAAATCTCTGTCTCAAAAAAATGATAAAAATTGCATATGGTTACAGTGTTGCATGACCGCGCAATTGTCATTCAAAGTGCATCAGCGCTGAAAGCTGGAAATTGGCCTGGGCAGGAAGGGGGTAGAATTGCCCGGTGGGCAGGAAGGGGGTAGAAGTGCCCAGTGGGCAGGAAGGGGGTAGAAGTGCCCGGTAGGCAGGAAGGGGGTAGAAGTGCCCGGTGGGCAGGAAGGGGGTAGAAGTGCCTGGTAGGCAGGAAGGGGGTAGAAGTGCCCGGTGGGCAGGAAGGGGGTAGAAGTGCCCGGTGGGCAGGAAGGGGGTAGAAGTGCCCTGTAGGCAGGAAGGGGGTAGAAGTGCCCGGTAGGCAGGAAGGGGGTAGAAGTGCCCGGTAGGCTAGCGGTTAATAATCCTCAGCCACAGCCTATACAAGGTCCCAGGCAAAATGCTGCCATGAAATGCTTCAGCTTTTATAGTTGGGGTAAATGAATCACCCCAGGTTGCTGACATCTTCCCGGGCTCTGGCTGAGAAGTTGATTACTCCACACCACACCACACTGAAAACAGGCAACGTTATGTGTGATAATGGACAGATGAGCTGTCTGCCCTTCACCTGAGAAATGCACACATGTGCCTTGCCTGGTCCTAAACCTCAAAGTGCATCGCTTCCAGTCAAAATGTCCAAATTCTAATACATTCTTCCCCTTGTGAACAGAACTTGTGGTGCCGCTCCAAGTCAGAGAGCAGAGGCCTCTGTGATCAAGCCATCCCATATACACCGGACTCCAGAGAACGGTCTGAGTGGTGTCTACTTCCACATTCTTCACCATGCCACGAGGGTTTAGACTTTCTTTTAGGTCTCGTATTGGCCATGGGTCATCTTTGAGCTTTGTAGTGACAAAATTGGCTGTTTGCTAACAAATTGATATGCCACACCCGACACCCTGGAATTTCCTCCCAAATATGCTGAAGAGGCTACAGAAGCAGCAGCAATCTATCACCCAATACCTCTCATACTTATGGGATGAGGAAAGGCTCTGGGAATTTGGAGATTTTCCACCCCAGCAATGGCTGCTCATAAAATCTCTCTACACTGTTTTGGCCCACTTTGAGGAGGTGGCTGAAATGTTGGGGAGCTATCAGGGTATGTTTCCTTGAACTTCAGCAGTTGTAAAGAGGGAAGGATCTCATGCTGTCTTGAGGCCACCATCAACCTCTATCCACTGACTCCATTCCTTGTAAGCAAAGTCTGTATTGGCTGAGGAGGAGTGAGAAGAGGAAGTGAGTTGAGAGGCTGGAAGGACGGAGGAGAAGGATGGTTGTTTGCAGGGGACCTCTTACTCTTCCCAAACCTTAAGGTGGTTGTAAAGGCTCAAGGTTTTTTTTTTTATCTTCATGCATTCTTTATACGAAGGTAAAAAAAGTTTGTGTACAGCAGTACCCCCAGCCCCCTCAATACTTACCTGAGCCCCATCATGATCCAGCGATGTGCACGACAGCCTCTGCTGTCCCAGGTCTCTGCCTCCTCATTGACTGAAACTGCAAGCTGGAGTCTTTGGCTCCTGCTGCTGTCAATCACAGCCAGTCAGACAATGAGAAGGGGTGGGACCAAGCCATGGCTCTGTGTGTGAATGGACACACAGAGCAGTGGCTTGGGAACATGCCTGCTTGGGTGCCCCCATAGTAAGCAGCTTGCTATGGGGGCATCCAATAGAATGGAGGAGCGAGGCTTAATAAGTGATTGAACAGTACTTACTGGCATATTCAAGGCTCTGAATATCCTTTTCCATCTTTATAAAGTTCCATGACCTTGTTACAACAGTCTTTTGATGGTTCTTTTCTGCTCCCCATGGCTCAGTATGTAGCCTGCTCAGTGCATCCACGTGAGAGGTAACAACCTCATTGCCTATTTATACACTGACACTAATTGCAATGGAAAAAGCCACAAAAGGGAAATGAACCTTTAATTGCCATTGTAACCCGTGTGTGTAACCTTGTGTGTCTGTACCAAGGCCAAACATTCCAAGGGGAGGGAAACTTCTGATCCGGGTCATTTGGGGGATTTCTGTTATCATTAGGATTAAAAAAAGGAGCCAAAAAACTATGTGGTAATCACTGGCTCAGGGGCGGACTGACCATTTGGAAACTGGGGCACTGCCCAAGGGCCTGGGGTCAGTAGGGGGCCCCATTAGATGCCCCTGTTACCTTTTTTTTATAGGCTTTTTTGAGTTTGAGCAAGGACACAGGGGCCCCATGATCCCCCTATTGCCCGGGGGCCCCATGAGTTGTCAGTCCACCCCTGGGCTTTAAATAAAATACAGTTTTATTGGCATGATCAGTCATATTTTCAATATCAATGCCAAAATGTCACCATTTCTGCCAGGGGGGGGACTCTTGAGCACAACTGTGCATATACAGAATATAGGACAGACGGGTATATAGGAGACATTGGGGTTGATTTACTAAAGGCAAATAGACTGCATTTTGCAAGTGCAGTTGCTCCAGAGCTTAGTAAAGGAAGAGAAGCTTGGCTGAGTTCTATCATCCAATCATATGAAAGCAAAAATGTTTTTTTTTTATTTCCTTGCATGGGATTGGGTATTCTCTACAAAGCAAAGCTTCGCCTCATTTTCTAAGCTCCAGAGTGCGGGTGTCAAACTGGCGGCCCTCCAGCTGTTGTCAAACTACAAGTCCCATGAGGCATTGCAAGATGGACAGTTACAAGCGTGACTCTGAAAGGTAGAGGCATGATGGAACTTGTAGTTTTACAACAGCTGGAGGGCCACCAGTTTGACACCCCTGATCTAGAGCATTGGACCTGCTCAGGGTCATCCCACTTCCAGCAATAAAGATGGTTGTATTGATATTGGGCCTCAGTCAATGTTCGGAGTCGGTGCCAATAACAAATAAAGATGTTTGTCTTTCTGCATCAGAAGTTATAAAAAAAGTTGTAAGTTGTTTTGTGATGCCGTTAGTCAGGGAGGGGCGGATTCTGGAAATGTTGTGGAAGGTAAAGATTTATCCAGTGATTGGATGTGAGGGCTGACAGAGGTCACCTGACAGCCTGGCATGTGGGGAGGGACCGATGGTTGTGTTGATGTCAATGGTAAAGTCACGAGTGGGGAATCGGGGAGGAGGAAATATTACCAGCTCAGTTTTGGATAGATTGAGATTTAGGAAGTGGTGTGACGTCCATACGGATATCAGTGAGGGAGAATGTCACCAGCACACCGAGGAGATCACCAATATGGGGCCAAAAGTTTGAATGAACGATCACATAGTTACAGCAAGGCAACGTTTCGAAGTCTCGCAGGACCCCTTCATCAGGTATGTGACATCATATCGCCTGATGAAGGGGTCCTGCGGGACTCTGAAATGTCACCTGCCTGCTGAAGGGGTCCTGTGGGACTCTGAAATGTCACATGCCTGATGAAGGGGTCCTGCGAGACTCCAAAGCGTCACATGCCTGATGAAGGGGTCCTACGAGGCTCAGAAGCGTCACATGCCTGATGAAGAGGTGCTGCGAGACTCTGAAGCGTCACATGCCTGATGAAGGGGTCCTGCAAGACTCTGAAGTGTCACATGTCTGATGAAGGGGTCCTGCGAGACTCCTAAGCATCACATGCCAGATGAAGGGGTCCTGAGAGACTCTGAAGTGTCACAAGCCAGATGAAGGGGTCCCGCGAGACTCTAAAGCATTACATGCTTGATGAAGGGGTCCTTTGAGACTCCAAAACATCACATGCTTGATGAAAGGGTCCTGCAAGACTCCAAAACATCACATGCCAGATAAAGGGGTCCAGTGAGACTCCGAAGCGTCACATGCCTGATGAAGGGGTCCTTGGAGACTCTGAAACATCACATGCCTGATGAAGGGGTCCTGCGAGACTCCAAAACATCAAATGCCTGATGAAGGGGTCCTGCAAGGCTCAGAAGCCTCACATGCCTGATGAAGGGGTCCTGCGAGACTCCAAAGTGTCAAATGCTTGATGAAGGGGTCCTGCGAGACTCCAAAGCATCACATGTCTGATGAAGGGGTCCTGAAAGACTCCGAAGTGGCACATGCCTGATGAAGAGGTCCTGCAAGACTTCAAAATGTCACATGCCTGATGAAGGGGTCCTGCAATAATCTGAAACATCACATGCCTGATGAAGAGGTTCTGCGAGACTCCAAAATGTCACATGCCTGATGAAGGGGTCCTGCGAGGCTCCGCAGCATCCCATGCCTGATGAAGGGTCCTGCGAGACTCTGAAGAGTCACATGCCTGATGAAGGGGTCCTGCAAGACTCCAAAGCATCACATGCCTGATGAAGGGGTCATGCAAGACTCTGAAGCATCACATGCCCGACGAAAGGGTCCTGTGAGACTCCTAAGTGTCCCATGCCAGATGAAGGGGTCCTGAGAGACTCTGAAGCATCACATGCCTGTTGAAGGGGTCTTGCGAGACTTCAGAATGTCACATGCCTGATGAAGGGGTTCTGCGAGACTCTGAAACATCACATGCTTGATGACGGGGTCCTGCGAGACTCTGAAACGTCACATGCCTGATGAAGGAGTCCTGCAAGACTCCGAAACGTTGCCTTGCTATAACCATGTGATCGTTCAGAAAAACCTTTGGACCTGTATTGGTGATCCTCGGTGTGCTGGTGACATTCTCCCTCGCTGGTTCTGTTCGGTTCCAGCTGATGGTCGCTGCAACACCCTCTTATACACACCACCATTTTTAATGCAGGAAAAAGTGTGTGTTTGGCTTGTACACTTGCATCCATACGGATATGTCACTCAGTAGATTTGTAATATGTGAGGAGATTGAGGGGTGAGATGGGGAGTGGAGAGATAGTTCTGGGTGCCTTCAGCATAGAGGTGATATGGAAATCTGTGGGAGATTTTCAATTGGCCCAGGGGAAAGGTATAGAGAGATAAGAGGAGAAGCCCAAGGACGGAGCCTTGTGGTACCCCAACAGAAAGAGGGAGAGGATCAGAGTTGGTGTTGTATGTGACACTGAAAGTGCACTGGGAGAGAAAAGAGGAGAACCAGGGAAGAGCAGAGTCATGGAGGCCGATGGAGTGGAGTTTATTGAGGAGGAGCGGGTGGTCAACTGTGTCAAAGGCAGCAGAAAGGTCTAAGAGTAGGAGTATGGAGTACTGGCCATTGGGTTTAGAAGTTAGTAGGTCGTAATTCTGATTCCGAATTCATGACCTACATAGACACAGTATGGACAGGGCCTAGAGATCCTGGTAATGTGGTGACAGACATATAGGAAGGAGTGTGACTCCCATATAGCTGCCATCCATCACACATGATCAGGTCTATCACAATTGGTGGATTACTAGAGCCAGAAGACATTGTTCCTCACACATGAGTTTTGACCAGGAACAGTTAGACTTACAGACTATAAAGAGTGGACTATTGTTAAAGCTAAAAATCCTGTTTCTGATAGAGACCGGTCTGAGAGAACTAGGAATAACCCCAATACAAAATCTAGGTATCAACTTCGATATGGGAACAGGGATCATTTGTCGGCAATTTTTCAGCAGAATTTTGTCTCCCACTAAAACATTAACTCCTTCTTGCCAAATGAGCGCATAATGTGGCCTCACTGATCTGGGCTTTTTTGTTCTGTGGGTCACATATATGCCTTTGTATATACCTGTCTTTGTTCCAGGAGTGCACCGCATAGTGTGCTCCCAGCACAGACACCGGGCTCTCACCAGGAGCCCCAGGTCCCGTAACCCGGGACTCCCGGTTCCTGGTCACCAGTGATCACATACTATGCAGCTTGCCACTGTTTTTTTCTTTCTTTGTGAATGGAGGGAGAGATACATTGTATCTTCCTCTCCTTGCAGGGAGAAAGACTATAAATACACAAACGTATGTAAAAAATAATAATAGAAAACAAATTTAAAAATAAACAAAAAATAGTTAGATCAAGGATAGATCTAGGTAAGTGCCAGGGTTAGTGTTGGGGTCAAGAAAGGGTCAAAGGTCATGGTCAGTTCATGTCCTGAAAAAAACGCGGTATAATCTACCTGGATGCATAAAGTAGCCGTGATGATACGTACAGATATAGTAACACAGGTCAAAGTAGCAAAATTGTGTTCAGTGTTCAGTCTTTAACGTTTATTTTACCCTTAGTCACTAAGAGGTTAAAAAGCCCCTTTCATATGCTGACAAGGATTTTTTTGCAATCCTTAAAGATGGATGGTTTCCTTGGTTCCCCTGGTCTATATTGCTCAGAGGGGTCCCCTTGACTCCAAGACTCGGCTTTCTTCTAAAGGCCAGGGCCGGGACAAGAGGTGGAGAGGAGGGGCGGCTGCCCTGGACACGGTGGTATCATGTGAGGTAGATTTGTGATGGGGGTGTAACGGAACAGGAACCCGACCACTCTTGGGTATATTCCGTTATACCGCAGCTTCCCCTGTCCGAACACCATCCACGGACCCCACCCTTGAAATCCCTCAGGAAATAGACAGCACCCAGCTCTTCTTAAAACAGGAAGCCAACTCCCTTTATTTTAACACAAAACACAGGATATATACAGAGGGCGGGGAAACACAACCAGGAACAGGAAATACATCATCACCCCTCCCCATCCCACCAAGACACAGAACAATGGGATGAAGCACATGGCAAAGGACATTGACCAACCCCCACACCAATACACAAACAGTACATCCCATAATAGTTGGCTGGCCAGCAAGACACAGCACCATGGGGGGGAGCACATGGCAAAAACAGACAATGGACAGCCATGTGGCCTAGACAAAGGACAACACACAAATGCACAATACTGGGACATTCACACCCTGTACCCCTAACAGGCACAGGGTGGGTTATACATAATGATTTGGGGAGATGATACAGAGGTCCCCCCACCCCCAAAAGTCACTCCCGTCACAGGGGGCATATAGGAAGAGGGAGGATTTTGGCTGGAGGAGACAAAGATTTGTACTGGGAGGGGGGATTTCAGTGGGGGGGGTATTTTTATATGTAGCTAATACAGACTTTGATTTTGGAGTACACCGAGTTGCCAACTTATATTGATTACTGGCCAGGGGACATCACCCTCAAAGATGAGATAGGGAACACAAACACCTGTAACATGGAGATACTCCACCATTTATGGTCACTCACATTCTCCTGGCTTAAGGCCCTCCTCCAGATATAAGGAATGTCCAAATGCCCATGTTCAGCCTTTTAATGATTTCACCGTGGCACAAGCATAATCAACTGATCTTTAGGACATGATCTTCTTCTCCACTTTTTCCAGACACAATATACATATTCTGCGCAGGGCCGGGTCCACACAAGCTTAGGATGACCACCAAACTCTTCTATTATCCTCATTGCATATACCCCGTAGGTAGGTTCTCCAAATGAGTGGTGTCTGTCTCTTTGTGAGAAGTGATCTCAGAGCGAGTGTGAAAGAGGGACCTAGTTGATGGAGAGTGTGATGAGGCTGAAGTATTATGGGTGGAACTGCACATGGGGGGCGGTACTACAAAGGTCATCACTGGAGTTTGTTATAGGCCCCCCAGTGTTAATGAGGAGGTGGAGACTCAGCTCCTCCCACAGATGGAAAGGGCTGCAAGGGTGGGGACAGTGATAATAATGGGGGATGGTAACTACCCGGAGATTGACTGGAGTAATGGGACTGCAGGAACAGTTAACCTCCCTGGCGGTATTATTATTTCAGATTTTTGGTGCTGAAAGCGGTACCATTATTTTGCATGGAAATTTGGTGTTTTATATTGTAGGCTGTAATTTGTAGGAATAACTCACTGAAATCTGTCTGAACAAGAGTCTAATAAACATCCCGTGTATGTTAAAATTTGAAACGCAAAATCATAAATTATAATTTAATAATAATAAATAATCATAAAAAATAATAATATAATAATAATAAATGTAATTCAATAATATAATCACCAAAAACACTGAAATGTGAAATATAGCGCCAAGTTGGCCCATCGCTGAGCAAAGTCGCAGAATCGTTTTCAGTGTCTGATGAGGAATTTCCCCCACCAATCATTATCACTCAATTCTGCAAGTGGTTCTGATTTCCTATCGCTGTTCTCTAGCCGCTCTAAAACCGCGTCTGACCTAAAGGGACGCTTTTTGGACGCCATGGACGTTTCTCAGTTTCCAGGCAGAAAGAACAGTAAAAATGCAGGCAGGGCGCCGGACAAAGCACTCGGGACAAAATGTATGTGAAATGGTTGGATACAGCAATGTTATACTATGTGATTTTAGTGTATTTAGTGAATGTCACTTTTTGTCATTTTCAAATTTCCCGCCGTTCCGTCCCCCGTACGTCCCGACGTCGCAGGGAACGGACCCCGGAAGACAGATGCCGGCAACCGCTGGAATACATTGCCGGGAACACTGCAGGGGTGACATCGCAGGAGCGCAGGACAAGGTAAGTGATCGAGGGATCGCGGAGCAGCGCCGCATGGTAAGCCCGAGTGTAATAATGAAACTTGTATATATACTTGTGAGCTACTATGATGAGAGTCTAAGATATTCCAATTGATTGTCTATATAAAGTGACAAACAAAATGTAATACACCTGTGGTTCGCTGGCACTCACACCAACTCATTAAACAGTGTTCTGTGACTAAAAGATAAATATACTAATAGTGCCGAGCTCCTATATAAATTATCTGTAATAGTTTGTGTTATGATTTCCAAATCAATTGATAAACAAAATCAATAAATGAAAATTAAACAATAAAATATAATATATAAAATATAATATATGATGCAGGAATTGATCTTCTATTGCAGTGGTTCTCAACCTTCCTAATGCCACGACCCTTTAATACAGTTCTTTATGTTGTGGTGACCCCCAACCATAAAATTATTTACCCAGAAATTATAATTCATGAAGTGTCGTTTTTACCTCCAATACTGCTTCTTTCAACATAGCTGCTTTTAACACAGCAGCTGCTTTCTACACAGTAGCTTCTCTTTACACATTGGAAATATATGTTTTCCGATGGTCTTAGGCGACCCCTGTGAAAAGGTCATTCGACCCCCAAAGGGGTCATGACCCACAGGTTGAGAACCACTGTTCTATTGCCTATAACATCATATAAAAATGATAAAACATGACTGTGCTTGTGATCATTTGTGAAATCTAATGGTGAGCAGAAATCAATAAATATGTGCACATAAAAAGTCCTCTTCTAATGTAAATTGCAATGGTGAAATCCTACTCCCACAATCCAAGTGCAGTGCGTGCGGTCTGATATGCGCTCACCTTAAGTTTTGCCTAACTAAATAGGCAAAACTGGCTTTTTGTCCTTACAGGATTGATGAAATAATCCTCCTGTATGGGGTTTTCTGAATGGCAAATAAATGGCTGTAATTGGATCTCAATCCACCTGGGGTCTCTGCAGTGAATGAGACTGATGCTTGTCAGGAATGGATGGATGGATAGATATCTCCCTTTTTCCCCTCCAGGGGTCTCCTTCCTCCTGTATCAATCTCTCTCCCGTGTATCACGGATGGATAACATAAGAGAAAAAGAAACCATGGTGCCTTATCCTCTTTAAAAGATGTATTTTATTACTGCTGGATATACCACTCACATTGATTACGTTTGCAGTAAGTAGAAAAAATATCAGCATGGCCTGTGGTCTCTGCTATACACGCCAAAGTCCTGGGTGTCACCCTGGACTCCCACCTCTCCTTCCTACCCCACATCCAACTGCTATCTAGATCATGCAGGCTCCACCTCCGCAACATCTCCAAGATACGTACATTCCTCACCCCAGACACCACCAAACAACTCGTACACTCCCTAATCATCTCACGCCTGGACTACTGCAACTCCCTCCTCACTGGCCTCCCTCGTCATCTCACGCCTGGACTACTGCAACTCCCTTCTCACTGGCCTCCCTCATCATCTCACGCCTGGACTACTGCAACTCCCTCCTCACTGGCCTCCCTCGTCATCTCACGCCTGGACTACTGCAACTCCCTCCTCACTGGCCTCCCTCATCATCTCACGCCTGGACTACTGCAACTCCCTTCTCACTGGCCTCCCTCATCATCTCACGCCTGGACTACTGCAACTCCCTCATCATCTCACGCCTGGACTACTGCAACTCCCTCCTCACTGGCCTCCCTCATCATCTCACGCCTGGACTACTGCAACTCCCTCATCATCTCACGCCTGGACTACTGCAACTCCCTTCTCACTGGCCTCCCTCATCATCTCACGCCTGGACTACTGCAACTCCCTCATCATCTCACGCCTGGACTACTGCAACTCCCTCCTCACTGGCCTCCCTCATCATCTCACGCCTGGACTACTGCAACTCCCTCCTCACTGGCCTCCCTCATCATCTCACGCCTGGACTACTGCAACTCCCTCCTCACTGGCCTCCCTCATCATCTCACGCCTGGACTACTGCAACTCCCCTTCTCACCGGCCTACCCAAACAAATGCTATCCCCACTCCAGTCTATCCTGAACTCAGCGGCCAGACTCATCCACCTCACCAACCGCTCCATATACGCCTCCCCCCTCTGCCAATCCCTTCATTGGCTCCTGATCGCCCAGCGCATCAAATTCAAACTGCTAACTCTGACCTACAAAGCCATTCACAACGCAGCCCCGAACTACATAACTGACCTGATACCCAAATACTACCCTACCCATGCCCTCCGCTCCTCACAGGACCTCCTACTCTCTAGCTCCCTGGTCTCCTCCTCCCACGCCTGATTGCAGGACTTCTCCAGGACTTCCCACATCCTCTGGAACTCCCTACCCCAATCCATCAGACTGTCACCTACCCTCCTCACCTTCAGGCGCACCCTGAAAACCCTCCTTTTCAGGGAAGCCTACCCCAACCTCACCTAACACCCAACCTCACCTAACAACTAACCTCCTCCACCACCCCACCACTCCATCCCCCACAGCCACCTCCTCCTGTACCACCTTCCCCTCCCTCCTAGATTGTAAGCTCCCAGGATCAGGACCCTCGAACCCCTCGTGTATTGTATTGTTACTGTCTTGTCTCATGTTCTGTCCCCATTGCTATTGTACAGCGCTGAGCATACCCTTTGGCGCTATATAAATACTGTATAATATTAATAATAATAATGTATAATACATAAGGGGGGATATGATCTCCATGTATAATACATAAGGGGGGATATGATCTCCATGTGTAATACATAAGGGGGGATATGATCTCCATGTGTAATACATAAGGGGGGATATGATCTCCATGTGTAATACATAAGGGGGGATATGATCTCCATGTATAATACATAAGGGGGGATATGATCTCCATGTATAATACATAAGGGGGGATATGATCTCCATGTGTAATACATAAGGGGGGATATGATCTCCATGTGTAATACATAAGGGGGGATATGATCTCCATGTGTAATACATAAGGGGGGATATGATCTCCATGTGTAATACATAAGGGGGGATATGATCTCCATGTGTAATACATAAGGGGGGATATGATCTCCATGTGTAATACATAAGGGGGGATATGATCTCCATGTGTAATACATAAGGGGGGATATGATCTCCATGTGTAATACATAAGGGGGGATATGATCTCCATGTATAATACATAAGGGGGGATATGATCTCCATGTATAATACATAAGGGGGGATATGATCTCCATGTATAATACATAAGGGGGGATATGATCTCCATGTATAATACATAAGGGGGATATGATCTCCATGTATAATACATAAGGGGGGGATATGATCTCCATGTATAATACATAAGGGGGGATATGATCTCCATGTATAATACATAAGGGGGGATATGATCTCCATGTATAATACATAAGGGGGGATATGATCTCCATGTATAATACATAAGGGGGGATATGATCTCCATGTATAATACATAAGGGAGGATATGATCTCCATGTATAATACATAAGGGGGGATATGATCTCCATGTATAATACATAAGGGGGGATATGATCTCCATGTATAATACATAAGGGGGGATATGATCTCCATGTATAATACATAAGGGGGATATGATCTCCATGTATAATACATAAGGGGGGATATGATCTCCATGTATAATACATAAGGGGGGATATGATCTCCATGTATAATACATAAGGGGGGGATATGATCTCCATGTATAATACATAAGGGGGGATATGATCTCCATGTATAATACATAAGGGGGGATATGATCTCCATGTATAATACATAAGGGAGGATATGATCTCCATGTATAATACATAAGGGGGGGGATATGATCTCCATGTATAATACATAAGGGGGGGATATGATCTCCATGTATAATACATAAGGGGGGGATATGATCTCCATGTATAATACATAAGGGGGGATATGATCTCCATGTATAATACATAAGGGGGGATATGATCTCCATGTATAATACATAAGGGGGGATATGATCTCCATGTATAATACATAAGGGGGGGGGATATGATCTCCATGTATAATACATAAGGGGGGGGGGGATATGATCTCCATGTATAATACATAAGGGGGGGGGGATATGATCTCCATGTATAATACATAAGGGGGGATATGATCACCATGTATAATACATAAGGGGGGATATGATCACCATGTATAATACATAAGGGGGGATATGATCACCATGTATAATACATAATGGGGGATATGATCTCCATGTATAATACATAAGGGGGGGATATGATCTCCATGTATAATACATAAGGGGGGATATGATCTCCATGTATAATACATAAGGGGGATATGATCTCCATGTTTAATACATAAGGGGGGATATGATCTCCATGTATAATACATAAGGGGGGATATGATCTCCATGTATAATACATAAGGGGGGATATGATCTCCATGTATAATACATAAGGGGGGATATGATCTCCATGTATAATACATAAGGGGGGATATGATCTCCATGTATAATACATAAGGGGGGATATGATCACCATGAATAATACATAAGGGGGGGATATGATCTCCATGTATAATACATTATTATTATTATTATTATTATACAGTATTTATAAAGTGCCAATAGTTGGCTCAGCGCTGTACATTACAAAAGGGAGACAGAACATGTGACAGAACAATACCAATACAATGCAAAACATGAGGGGATCGAGGGCCCTGCTCTTTGGAGCTTACAATCTAGGAGGGAGGGGATGGTGGCACAGGAGGAGATAGCTGTGGGGGATGGAGTGGTAGGAAGAGTGGAGGAGGTCGGCAAGTTAGCAGGGGGTGGGGTAGGCTTCCCTGAAGAGATGGGTTTTCAGGGTGCGCCTAAAGGAGAGGAGAGTAGGTGATAATCTGATGGGTTGGGGCAGGGAGTTCCAGAGGATGGGTGACACCCTGGAGAAGTCCTGGAGGCGGGCATGGGAGGAGGAGACCAGGGAACTAGAGAGAAGGAGGTCTTGTGAGGAGCGGAGTGTGCGTGCTGGGCGGTACTTGGATATTAGGTCAGTGATGTAGTTCGGGGCAGTATGGTGGACAGCTTTGTACGTCAGCGTTAGGATTTTGAATTTGCAATCGGAAGCCAGTGGAGGGATTGGCAGAGAGGGGTGGAGGACACTGAGTGGAGGCCAGTGGAGGGATTGGCAGAGAGGGGCGGAGGACACTGAGTGGAAGCCAGTGGAGGGATTGGCAGAGGGGGGTGGAGGACACTGAGTGGAGGCCAGTGGAGGGATTGGCAGAGGGGGGTGGAGGACACTGAGTGGAGGCCAGTGGAGGGACTGGCAGAGGGGGGTGGCGGAGACAGTGTGGTTGGAAAGGTGAATGAGTCTGGCAGCCGTGTTCAGGATGGACTGAAGCGGGGATAGCCAGCGGCGAGGCAGGCCAGTGAGGAGGGAGTTGCAGTAGTCGAGTCGTGATATGATGAGGGAGTGGATGAGCCGTTTAGTGGTTTCTGGGGTTAGGAACGTGCGTATTTTGGCGATGTTGCGGAGGTGGAGTCTGCATGTTGCGGAGGTGGAGTCTGCATGTTGCGGAGGTGGAGTCTGCACGAGTTTGTTAAAGATTGGACTTGGGGCTGGAAGGATAGGTTGGAGTCCAGAATGACACCCAGTACTCTGGCCTGCAGGGCGGGTTTGATGGTGGCGTTGTTGGACATGATGGAGAAGTCAATGGGGGGGGGTGTCCGGGCTGGGGGGGAAGACAAGAAACTCGGTTTTGGAGAGGTTCAATTTAAGGAAGTGGAGCGACATCCAGTCTGATATGTCGCTCAGTAGGTGTGTGATTCGGGCTGAGACCAAGGGGGTGAGGTGGGGGGTTGAGAGATAGATTTGTGTGTCGTCGGCATAGAGGTGGTAGTTGAAGCCGTGAGAGTGTATGAGTTGGCCAAGGGAGGAGGTATAGATGGAGAAGAGAAGGGGCCCGAGGACAGAGCCTTGAGGGACCCCAACAGAGAGGGGGAGTGAGGGGGAGGTGGTAGCATTATAGGTAACGCTGAAGGAGCATTGTGACAGGTAGGATGAGAGCCAGGAGAGAGCAGAATCTCTGAGGCCAAGGGAGTGTAGTTTTTTGAGGAGGAGGGGGTGGTCGACTGTGTCGAAGGCCGCAGAGAGGTCAAGGAGTAGGAGCACTGAGTAGTGGCCATTAGCTTTGGCGGTTAGCAGGTCGTTGGAGAGTTTGAGTAAGGCAGTTTCGGTGGAGTGTAGGGGACGGAAGCCGGACTGTAGGGGATCGAGGAGGTTGTTGTCGTTGAGGTGAGAGCATAGGCGGGTGTAGACTAGGCACTCGAGGAGTTTAGATGTAAATGGGAGCAGGGAGATGGGTCTGAGGTTGTTCGGGTCATTGGGGTCCAGGGAGGGCTTTTTAAGTATGGGGGTGATGTGTGCATGTTTCAGAGGGGAGGGGAAAGTGCCTGAGGAGAGGGAGAGATTGAAGATGTGGGTGAGGGAGCGTAGGATGGAGGAGGAGGAAGGTCGTAGGTGTTGTGAGGGGATAGGGTCGAGGGGGCAGGTGGTGAGGCGGGCATCAGAGAGGATCTTGGAGACTTCCTCGATGGTAGTAAGGTCAAAGGTGTGGAGTGTTGGGGGAGCTTCAGTATGAGGAATGTAGGGTGGGGTGGAAGAGGAGGTCAGAGCAGTGGTGGGGCATGATCTTCATGTATAATACATAAGGGGGGGTATGATCTCCATGTATAATACATAAGGGGGGGGGGATGTGATCTCCATGTATAATACATAAGGGGGGGGGATGTGATCTCCATGTATAATACATAAGGGGGGGGGGGATGTGATCTCCATGTATAATACATAAGGGGGGGATGTGATCTCCATGTATAATACATGAGGGGGGATATGATCTCCATGTATAATACATCAGTGGTTCATATAGTGAACTCGGTGTAGTTATTCCCCCTGAGGTCATCACAGGGGACAAAGGGGCGCTCTTTACATCTGGAGGAAAAGAAATGTCATCTCCAAACACGGAAAGGTTTCTTCACAGTAAGAGCTGTGAGAATGTGGAATAGACTCCCTCCAGAGTTGGGTGTGGCCAGCTCAGTGGATTGCTGTAGGAAAGTCCTGGATTCTTTCTTGGATACACAGAATATAACTGGGTATAACATTTATAGGGAAAGTTGATCCAGGGAATATCCGATTGCCTCTCGGGGGATCAGGAAGGGATTGTTTCCCCTGCAGGAGCAGATTGGATCGTGCTTTGCTGGGATTTTTGCCTTCCTCTGGATCAACTGTGGGTGTAGGATTGTAAGTTTTTGCTTGTTTTATGGTTGAACTGGATGGACTTTTGGTTTTTTTCATCAGACTAACTATGTAACTATGTAACTATGTAACTATGTGCTTGCTGTTTACAGCTAACAATAAATGAAGTCATGTTATGGTCACAGCTACCCAGATGTTCTTTTATGTGGACATTCGTAATAAGCTCTGCATGGTTGGAGATGACCAGGTCCAGCAGAGCATCATTCCTAGTTGGGGCCTCTATGAACTGGACCATAAAATTTTTCCTGTAGTAGGTTTATACATTTTTGCCCTTTAACTGTTCCTGCAGTCCCATTACTCCAGTCAATTTCTGGGTAGTTACCATCCCCCATTATTATCACTGTCCCAGTCCTTGTAGCCCTTTTCATCTGTGGGAGGAGCTGAGACTCAACCTCCTCATTAACACTGGGAGGCCTATAACAAACTCCAATGATTACATTTGTAGTACCGCCCCCCATGTGGAGCTCCACCCATAATACTTTAGCCTCATCACACTCTCCATCACTGTGCACTGCACAACTCCTTCCACCCGCTAGCACCAGTTACAATATTAACAGGAAATATCAGTTGTCACTTACAGGTTAGTAGAGTCCAGGGGCGGACTGAGAACTCATGGGGCCCCCGGGCAATATAGGATCATGGGGCCCCTGTGTCCTTGCCCAAACTCAAAAAAGCCTATAAAAAAGGTACCAGGGGCATCTCATGGGGCCCCCTACATACCCTGGGCCCTCGGGCACTGCCTGAGTTTCCAAATGGTCAGTCCGCCCCTGGTAGAGTCCTGTTATAATCTCCTGGTTTTTCACTGTTTTTTTAACCCCACTTATCAAATGTCCAGCAAGCAAAATACAGGCAAGCTCAAGAATGAGCACGCTCAGAGTGAGCTCTACAGCAAGTTATATAGTACCTGGAGGACCTGTGACCAATTAACCCCTCCCCTTAATTAGCAGACTGAAGGAAGACAAGGAAAGGAAGAAAAAAAAGTGACAGAAAAAGTGTTTTAAAAAAGTAAAATTTTTTAGCAAGACCCAAAGAAGAAAATAAAACAACTACAATCACCAGTAGTCAGAAGTAAAACTTTTTTACTATCCACTCAAATTCTCACTCTTTTTAGCTATCAGCCAGCAAAAAATGACACCATAGGCACTATGTTATCCTATCAGACTATCAGAGTCAGAGGTGTAAGAGAGGCCTTCCACATCAGATCAGGCTCTTCTACCAGGTACGTGATAGTCTAAAATAGCCTGAATGAGGAACCTCTCCCATGAATGAACCTCTTACATGGAGGAATGTGTCCAGGCACTGTCTTTGCCCACATCATCTCCTTCTCCTTCTGTCTCACCAGCCACATCTGGAGAAACACCTGCTGCACCTGCAGTAGTGATGTTAGCACCAGAACCTAGAATTTCGACTCCAGAAAGATTTTTGGGCAAACACAATAAATTCAGAGCTTTTTGCAATGCTGGTGAACTGTATTTTTCACTACAGCCCCAAACCTTCTCATTTGAAGCCACCAAGGTTGGGGTTGGTCATCTTCCTCCTGCAAGGTAGTCAGTCCTGAGCCCATCACTTACTTGAGCAGAAGAGTCCGTCCCTATCAACTCTAACCATATTCCTCGATGCCATGGGACAATTGTATGAGGATCCCCAGTGGACCACAGCCGCTGAAGTAGTTCTCCATGTCCTCCAGCAAGTAACATACTTTAGACGCTGGAGCACTGACACCAACTGGAATGATGCTGCCCTTGGTTACCAATTATGTCTGTAGCTCTCAGAGCCATTGAAAGATGAGTTGTCCCGGGTAGGAGTGCTGGATTTCCTGGAAGCTCTGACAAACCTAGCTGTCCAGATTGATCGACATCTGAGGGAAGGCAAGTCAGAGAGGTCTTTTGGACAGCCTTGTCCTGTATGGATGTTACCACAGGTTTCCAGTCTTCCAAACCCAGCTCCTTCAGTTCCAGCCGCACCTGCTTTTGATACATCAGAACCAATGCAACTCGGCATGCTGTGTCCTCCTTCTCCTGAGGAATTCCAGCATCAGCATCAGAACAATCTCTGTCTGTACTGTGGAGACATTGGCCATTATATGAGCACCTGCCCAGCCAAGATCTGTAAATGCATGACCCTATCTTCTGCCGATCAGTTGTCCCTGTCTAAAAACTCCTCTCACCTGGCTATCCCTGTCTCATTGCAGCTTCCGAGAAGGGTCATCCAGGAGATTCTAAAATTGATTGAGGAGCCTGTAGCTGCTTCATTGACTAGCTACTCAATACAAGATTCCCCTGAAACCAAAATCTCAAGGGCGTTCAATCCATCTGGAAGATGGGTCTCGCATTGAAGCTGGACCTCCTACTTAAGAGACTACTCCATTTCCAGCCACCATATCTGGTATCTATAAAGAACCGTTGCACCCCAATTTGAATCCTGAAAATGGAATCTGAATTCATGTTTGACCCCAAAACTGAATGTTAGCCATAGTTTGCTGTAAACATAGCCCTCCGGTAAGAGAAGTTGCCTCATCCAGTTGTTAACTGAGAAAGTTAATGATTCATAACACACTGTGATGGGTTCCTGCCAAATCTGATAACAGACTTTTCCTTGGCATGAAATGTGAAAGGTAAAGCACACTTCTCAGTTTCTTAGGAAAGATTTAAAAGTTTATAATGCAGAAAGCTCACACCTTTTCTTTCAAATATCTTTATTAGGTTTATAAAGATATAAAAGTACAAAAAAGGAGCCAAGTAAAACATCTTAAATCCTTTATTGACGATTACTCAAAAACCAATACTGAAGCAAGAAAACAAACAAAACAAAAAATCCAAATTGTCGATTGGCCAAAATGAAAATGAGCCAAAAGATATTCTGAAGAAATGATAAAATTCCCCATAAAATGAGTCCACCTGATTTCAGCACTGAGGATTCTATATAAATTCTCCGGCAGCCAAGAAAAAACTCAAACCAACCTACAGAGAGATTTCTGTTCCTGTTACTGGACCTTCACATAAATCTGGAAGATGAACACTCTGGAGCTGTTCGAGTTCCCAGATTTCAAGGGTGACTCCGTGTGTATAAAGGAGGAGACTTCTGACCTGAAATTTGTTGGATTCCTGAAGAGAGCCCAATCTCTCAGAATCCGTGGAGACCCATGGGTTGTATTCAGTGGAACTGACCATAAAGGAAGCTTCCAGTGCTACAAAGAAGGCAACTACAACTCAGTCCCAGCATTTGATCATATAATCAGCTCTGTGCGATGGGTGAAAGGCGGTCTGTATAATCCAAAGATTACACTGTATGAGGAAACCAACCATAAGGGCAGATCTTTGACCCTGGAGAAAGCTGCAAATTCCCTTAAATCCTACGGATTTGAAAACAAGGCTTCATCACATCGTGTAGAGAGCGGGGCCTGGATCCTGTACACTGAGGAGTATTACAGAGGTGATCAGACATTATTTATGTCATACTCATCTTCATATGATTGTACATGGAATAACAAAATAAGCTCCCTGAAGCCTGTGCTAGCTTATGAGTCTTGAAAGTGAGACGTTTCTCCAACTTCCCATGAAGTCCCCAGCACTGTGCAGTTCTCTGCATCTCTTCTCTTCCATTGATTTCTGCTTTTATAGATGGCCTGCCTGTTACAGAGAGCCCACATTCCCATAACACCAATCTGGATCTGGTGAAAACCTCCAGAGAACACCAATCCTGATCTAAAGAAGACATCTAGAGACCACCAATTCTGATTTGATGAAGACATCTAGAGACCACCAATTCTGCTCTAATGAAGACCTCCAGAGAACACCAATCCTGATCTGATGAAGATCTCCAGAGAACACCAATTCTGATTTGATGAAGACATCTAGAGACCACCAATTCTGCTCTAATGAAGACCTCCAGAGAACACCAATCCTGACCTGATGAAGAGCTCCAGAAACCACCAATCCTGATCTGATGAAGAGCTCCAGAGACCACCAATCGTGATCTGATGAAGATCTCCAGAGACTGAATTATTGTCCTCTACAAGGTGAGAGAACCCAAAATGATTTCATCTGAGCTCCATGAAATACATTTACTTAAATACATCCTTCCTGAAGAAGAGATCAGACTGGAAAGATCTCCATTGAACTAACTTAGCTATAAATTCCACTTCATCATGTTGTGTAATTGTGCCAAATCTTTACCAACTGGAACTGATGAGAACCCGACCCCGGATCAAGTATGGACTGAGGGAAGGTTCCTCTTCTCTAACTTCTAAATTCCCAAGACTTCTTTTACATCTCACATTTATTTTGTTTGATTTTATTGATTTAACAAATAACATATTTGAAGGTATAGAAATTGTCTAATGATTTACCAAAATGATGCATTATCACAATGTTACTTTTATATAACAAAGTAAATGAGGTGTCTAGGTGGGTGTCGCAGTGTTTCTGATGATCTCACAATGTTTCCTTCTCTGTGTCCTCATCCAGACACTGCGCTCACTCCATACACACAGAGATCAGATCTCTGTACAGATACAAATGTTTCCATTGGGGAATAGGTGATGTTTATTAGAAATGGAGGATGACTTGTATAGAGGATGTGGATCTTCTATCCCACCAATAATGACTTCTTTCCCGGGAACATTCTTTGATGTGGACATTCCACCCACAGAATTCCTGGAAGGTTGGTCAGTAAATCTGTTCTGTAGGATGAATGGATTTCAGTCATTGGATCTCTGGAATGGATCCATTGTAAACATTCTGGAATTCCATTCATCTCATCCCAGGAAAGTGACATTGATTAGTTGGAGGTTCATCAATAATCTTCCTATTGATCAGATCAGATGTCAGATCCTCTCCTGTAACATGAAAATCTTTGTTCTGCTTTTCTCTCTCTAGAAATAAATGGCTTTGTATGGCAGTGATCTGTGTGTCTGTGTATGAGATATACTGGGCTGGGGTATGAGAAGAATCCCTGGGGTGGGGGGACCACAGAAGGACAAATGCACTCACATTCACACATTGATTTCTTTATTACACACTGCTATTCATTTTATTTAATTCTTGTAAATTCAGTCAATCTGTTTATTTAATTTATTGCCAATTTTAATATACCCCCCCAAAAAAAAAATAAATATATATATATATATAGTTTAATAGGGTGGTAAAAAAATCATCTATGTACATAACCAGGTGTGTTCCACCAAAAACTCACCACAATAATCCAAATATAATCCAAAGGGTTACAGCACAGTGAGCATAATATTACAGATTCATGAAAAAAAATAATATACCAACTTCAGACATTTCTGTCCTTTTTAATTACCGACCTGCACCGTGCCATAGAAATGGAGGTGAGTGCTCAGGTAGACGGACGGATCGATGAGATTTAGTGTCATCATAAAATAAAATGTAAAATCAGATTTCAAGAATATTCCTCACAATCATTAGAAACATAAACAATCCTTCACACGCACATCCATAAAAAGCATTATGGGCCAGTTCACACCAGAACGGGGTGCGGGGAAGGTGCGTTCCTTGCACCTGAATGCACTGCCCTTGCAACTTCTGCTGGTGCCAATATAATGTTAATGGAACCCCAAATGCAGATCTCAAACGTTTTGTGTTTGTGGGGCTCGGGAGCCACCATAGCAAGCTGCTTGCTCTGGGGGCACTTGGCAGTAGGGAGGAGCCAGGAGTGCTGATGGGGGACCCAAGAAGAGGAGGATCAGGGCTGCTCTGTGCAAAACCATTACAGAGCAGGTAAGTATAACATATTTGTTATTAAAAAAAATTGCCTTTAATAATATTTTATTGTCACTTTAATTATTTTAATAGCCCCCAGAACAAAATCTCTTTAAATCTGTCCTGTCTGTAATATAACATCTACCCCATGGCAATAATTCAAATAAATAGCATAAATGGCTTCCATATATACAGCACCCGAGATGCTAAAGAGGTGCAACCACTTCTCTCCATTTCTATTGGAAGGTCAGTGATGAAAAAGCCGGGATGTCTGAAGTGTTTTGATGAAGCAATAACTTATGCTCACTGGTCTGTAACATGGCCAGATCTAAGGGGTGCTGGGGTGGGCTCTGCCCCCCCAGATTTGCATTCCTCTGCATAACTACAGTATATACACAGACAGGGACGGACTGACCATTTGGAAACTCGGGCACTGCCCGAGGGCCCAGGGTCAGTAGGGGGCCCCATGAGATGCCCCTGGTACCTTTTTCATGGGCTTTTTTGAGTTTGGGCAAGGACACAGGGACCCCATGATCTCCTATTGCCCAGGGGCCCCATGAGTTGTCAGTCCGCCCCTGCACACAGATCATCCATGACAATCTGACCACTGACAAGTATAGTGAATGACAATGATTACACTGTTCAACAAATTTTTATTTTTTGCCAGTTTTGGAAACAAAAGGATCCATTTCTTAATGAATTTCACATTCTGAGTTTAAATATAACAATGAAATTTGTCAATTGGCTCTAGTTTTTCTGTAAACGGAAAGTTTTCTACTATAGGCGTAATGACTACATAATGCACAATAATTATATAGATAGATGTCTTTCCACAAATATAAAGCAAGTGATATTGATACATAACAAAGCCTAAATGGCATAATATATTGCATAGGATTACCAAGAAAAATTATAGCCATAAGCCAAGTTGAATCATTTTAATACTTAGGATTCTCACTAGTTTTGTCTTCAGTTTGTGTCGGTTTTGCTTCTCTTGGCTTTTCTCTTGTATTCGAGGAAAGGGCTATCTCTTACAACTGCACGTGACTACACGCTTCAGGTTCTTCCTCACTTGACTCAACCACGAAGGATTCTGGTGCTTTAGGAATTGGTAGCCCCTCTCCATGAGGAACTGGACGTATTGCCGATGGAATATTTGGATAGTGCTCAGATAACTTTTTCTTCTTATTTAGCCCTTTTACAATTGGAGGCACCATACAAAAGTAACAATTCCTAACATGATCTGTTGGCTCTCTCCAAATCATTGACACAGCGAAAGGCATAGATGCCTTTTTTTTTTCCATTCAACCATTGCTCCAGTGCAGTGCTGTCCCACAAGAATTGCAGCATATATGTGGTGCCCAGCTCTTGTCCTGGTCTCCTATCTTGCAGCCAAAATACAAGTTGTAGGCTTTCTTAATCATTCCTGTTATCCTCCTTTTTTGTGAGATAAAAGTTATTTCACCGCAGATATAGCAGAAATTATCTGCTTTATTCACACAAGTTCGAGGCATTACTGAGTAGCCTATATAAGCAGAAAACGAAATATAAAGACAAACTCCAATCAGCTACAGATACTGCAGCTTTTATGCAGTGAAGTGATGCAATTAAAGGCTAATATTGCATCATCTCAGTATACATGACATTTTCTATTGGTCACCAGTATCAATTGCGCAATATGCAGCTGAAGTTGCATCATAATTTTGAATGGCTTACGTCATTAGATGGGTGAATATGTCATGGAAACTAGAGCCAATCAACATTTTTTAGGGTCATTTTCGTTTTCAGCACCCCAAAATTATGTAAGATTAGCTAATTTTATGCCCAAAACTTTTTACCTGTTGAACAGTGTTATCTGGTTACAATGACATCAGAAAGTGGGTGGGATATATTAGGCAGCAAGTGCACATGTTGTCCTTGAAGCTGATATGATGAAAGCAGAATGAAAAATGGACAAGTGTAGCTCTAGTGGGATGTTCCTGGTCTGCAGTGACCAGGACCGACCAAAAGTGGTCCAAGTAAGGAGAATTGGTCAACCAGAGATAGGGTCATGGGTGTCCAAGGCTCATTGCTGGAGGTGATGAAGGCTCATTGATGGAGATGTGTGTGTGGGGGAAGGGGGGGGCTCATTGACAAAGGTGGAGAGGGAAGGCTCATTCATGGAGGTGATAATAAAAATAGAAACCATATATCTAACTAATATCAATGAATAAATCCATAAATATATAAAACATGCAAAAAACACACACAAGAAAACACTAAAATAGTGATAAGATCAATTTATATCTATTTAGTGTCAAAACACTCCAAAGTGCCCCAAAATGTGTACTGAGGTCCTCTCCAAGGCCTCATTAAAGAGCAATCAAATAACACACAATTATAATTTGTATATCAAGCAACCCCTAAACACCCCTACATATGTAGGATAATAGTGGATCCCCTAAATAGGGGGAAAATATCGCACAAAGTGACCCGTGCATAAACAGTACCATCAATTTAGAAAAAATATATACGTATATATATATATATATATACACAGTGACCCCAAAAAAAATTTATATAAAAAATAATACAAACAAAATAAAAAAAATGAAAAAAATAAAAAATGTATAATATATAAAAAAAAAATCTCTAACTGTCCAATAATCTTCAAATAAAAAATGCTTCAAAAAACTTCCATGCAGAGTGAAAAAAATTGTGAAAAAATGTGAATGTGTGTCCACAGTGGCTAAATTGCCCCCTCACCTCCTTTTAGCGAGCCACTGGGCCACCTCGCTTTCTGGATCACCCCAGGCAGGGGCGGACTGACCATTTGGAAACTCAGGCACTGCCCGTGGGCCCGGGGTCAGTAGGGGGCCCCAGGAGATGCCCCTAGTACCTTTTTCATATGCTTTTTTGAGTTTGGGCAAGGACACAGGGGCCCCATGATCCCCTATTGCCCGAGGTCCCCATGAGTTGTTAGCCCGCCCCTGACCCCAGGATCCTTCACAGGTGGTAGCTGGTATTAGATGTTATCCAGCTGTGATCCCCCTCTCTGGTGGCACGGTTCTCCAGTCCTCTCCCAATATATGTTTCTGCTACATAATAAACTCCCCCATGCAGCCCACCCAGAGCCGAACACGGACGTGGAATGTGATTCACTTTATCTGGTATGAAGAATTTCTGTTGTTTTCACCTCTCCGCTCTGAAACTCATTCAAAGTATCTCTCCCCTCCATTCAGAGAGAAGAAAACACGAGGGTGGGCTTATCAGTGACTGATCACTGTGATAGCTAACCAGAGGCTTGCACAGCGATCAGCTGACCTGGGATCGGGAGTTCCGGGGCCCGGTCATTAGTATGGGACCCGACTGTCAGTGACACCCCTGACAGATGTGCAAATATGCGGCCGCACAAAAAAAAAAAAGCCCAGTTCTCTGAGGCTGCATATTTGTGTGACGTTGGCACCAAGGGGTTAATCATTTTCCTTTTTTTTTCTGAATGGAGGTGCCGCCGGTGAAATAAACTGGGGGTGACCATAAAAACTAAAGAAAATGGACCTCCAAATCACCCCCCGATAAAAGGGCAAGTAACCTCCAACCAGGGGCGGACTGACAACTCATGGGGCCCCCGGGGCAATAGGAGATCATGGGGCCCCTGTGTCCTTGCCCAAACTCAAAGAAGCCTATGAAAAAGGTACCAGGGGGGCATTTCATGGGGCCCCCTACTGACCCCGGGCCCTCAGGCAGTGCCCGAGTTTCCAAATGGTCAGTCCGCCCCTGCCTCCAACCAAAAGATAATTTACAAAAGGTCAAAGTTGTTTTTGAATTTTTTCAAAGTTTTCCCAACTTCTCGCTATAACTATGAAGGGAGAGATACTTGTGACTCTTGCAGGGATCACAACACAATGTGAAGATAAATGTAAGAAATCTAACACAGCCGGGTGTACGGGAGACGGTGAAAAGATCTGTGGGCAGTAAAGATTGTTCTGTTGACATTGCGCCTCAGTCTATGTTCGCAGCCGGGGTCCATAGAGAAGAACATTTAGAAAGGCGGATTTATACAGGGTGACGTCTTGCAGGGATTTGGTGTCACTCCAGTTGTACATAACAGGGAGCTCCATCCAACCAATATAATCTGTAAATATCACACAGACAGGTGTAGGAGTTTGGGAAGAGTTCAGAGAAAATGAACGCATGTATGGTCACCCCACCTTGACCAATAAAGAATGTTCCGTTCATATCACGCCTCAGTCTATGGTCAGAGTCCCCAGAAAGAAAGATTTCTGCATCAGAAGTCCTGAAAGGTTTCCTAAGAAAACGGAAACCGCACTTTACCTTGATTTCCTGGTAAGTTGAAGTCTGATATGTGGTTGGCCGGAATCCATCTCACTGATATTCACAAGGTTAGGAGTTATTAATATCGCTCAATCACTTCATAAATGGGCACACCATCATCGCCTGGACGAGGCCACTTCTCTCACTGGAGGGCTCACATTTTGGGTTTGGGGGTCAAACATGAATTTGGGTTGAATTTTTAGGATTTAGGTTTGCTGCAAATGTTTCAGTGTTGGTTGAGTTGGTGTTCTGGGAATTTTGCTCGCACCCATCATGCCCCGTGTAAGCAGGACCTACAGTGTTGTTCATTTTTGGTTATTGTGGGGTCAACTGTGAACGGCGGTGTGTCAGCCTGAGGTTTTGTATCTTTCCATTGCAAGGCATGTACATCATCCACAGACTCCGCTGACCAGCTGACATTTATCAACATGAATCAGTCCTGGATCAACAGCAACTATCTTGTCCCTGATGCTGATGTAACTGATTCCATTTGTTAGGGATCTGGGATCCCTTGAAGACTGCCTATGCTGCCTATCCTATTCCACAATCCTGATTATAGTCGCTTCCAACAAATTTTTTGGTTTAGGGCCCCACCAACACACAAGGCCCAATTTTTCGCCCCCGTTTCACAGGTACATGTCATTTAATTTTTTTTTTTTAACAATTTTTCTGTAATTGTTACCAATTTTTACCTGCAGGGCCCCTGCCTGCGCCCAGGAAGAGTAAGTGTGAGGGGTACAAGGGGTGCCACCAACACCCAAGGCCCAATTTTATTTATTTTGTACTCGTTACTAATTCACAAGGGGGGGGCAGCATCAGTGTGCTCCCTTTTATATAAAGGGGTACCCTTATGCTAATGACCCCCCTGCCCGCAGACCCCCACCAGGCCAGGGTTGTGGGGAAGAGGCCTTTGTCCCCATGCTGATAACACATGGTCTGGAAAGGCCCAGGGAGGGGAGGGCCGCTCATCCATCCCCCCCTTTCTGGACTGCCAGGCCTGTGCTCGGATGAAGGGACTGGTAGGAAGTTAGGAGGGACCCCACACTTTTTCCACTTATTTTTTGGGGGGGGGTTCCCCTTAGAAGGCCTATGAGGCCTAAAGGACCTGGCATGGCTTTTAGGGGGAACCCAAAGCACTTTAAAAAAAAAATTCACTTTGGGGTCCTTTCTAACCTTCCCACCTAAAGGGTCTGGTAAGGATTAGGGGGACCCCACACTTTTTTTTTTTTTATAAATATGTCAGTCATGCTGCAGCAGGCTCTATACATTGTACAGATGTGCAACTTTGCAGGGAGTTTATGGGACCCCCCAGGAATGATAATTACATTTTTAATTTGTTTTGTTTTTTTTTTTACTTTAAGCAATGAAAAAATGACTGCCCCTTTAAAACGGTTTTATTTCACTGATTCCTGTCCCTCAGGGCCGTCCCCGAGTCCCCATACCACTTCTGTGGCCAATAACTGGCATAAAAGCCTTCAGAATGGTCACTTTTCAATGTACAACTTCCAGTCCCATAGACTTGCATTGAGTTCCAAGTTTGCAGTTGAACTTTCATCAATCAAATGTTCGACCGCGAACCGAACAGGGGGGGTGTTGGACCCGTCACTACTTATTACATGTCTGTGTCCTTCTGTACAAGAATTCTAAGTCCTCATGCACACGGGACGTTGTTACAGCGGCTGTTTTTGGCTTTTGATGATTTTTTCTCCAGCCAGTAAACCCCCCATGTTGTTCTCCTCGGTGTCCATACACACAGAGACTGGAATCAGCGTTTTCTGGCTGGAAATAAAACCCAAACTAGCGGGCTTCTAGAGGAATTTTTTTTTAGCTGTAAACACTCTCTAATGATGAAAAACGCAGCAAATCGTGGAAAACCGGTGTTTTTGGACTTTTTTTTACAAAAAAAAAACTTGAAAAAATACAGCAAAACGTCACTAAACGCTAATGCAAAAATGCTAAAAAAAACTCTGGTATTTAACGTGACTTTACACAGCTAATGTTGGACCAGCTTTGTTCTCAGTCCCCCCCCCCCCCCCCCCCCCCCCAGTGTGCATGGAGCCTTCTAGCTATGTGTCTCAGTCCCAGCCTCTCCCTGTGTAGGAATGTACACCCTCCCCCCCCTTGTAGGAGTGTACAGAAAGGGTCACACTGGTTACGGAGTGTCAGAGACTTTCACTTTCGTTCATCTCTTCCGCTCTCAGCGATGGCGTCTTCTGATCTGAGGAAGGAGCTGGAATGTTCCGTCTGTCTGAACATTTTATACAGATCCTGTAACCCTGAGATGTGGACACAACTTCTGCCGGGACTGTATTGGCCGTGTGTTGGACACAGGAGGGGTCTGGAGGTTATTCCTGTCCTGAATGTAAGAAAGCTTCAAGAAACGTCCTGTCCTTCAGAGGAATCTGAAGCTACGTAACATAGTGGAGAACTTCCAGTCTACCCATCCAGAGCAGGAGGAGTCCGGGGTCTTCTGTACTCACTGTATTCACACTCCTGTACCGGCTGTGAAATCCTGTCTGCATGTGTGAAGCTTCTCTGTGTGACAACCACCTGAGAGTCCACAGCAAGTCAGTCACCAGAACACGTCCTATGTGACCCCACCACTTCCCTGAAGGACAGGAAATGCTCCATCCATAAGAAGATCTGGAGTATTACTGCACCGAGGACTCCACCTGTATCTGTGTGTCCTGCAGGGTTCATTGGAGAACATCGGGGACACCAGGTGGAGACTCTGGAGGAGGCCTCTGAGATGAAGAAGAAGAAACTGAGGAATGTTCTGCAGAAACTGATGACAGAGAGAGAGGAGATGGAGAAAAGAGTCCAGAGTCTGCAGGAACGCAGGAGGAAAGTACAAGGAAAAGCAGATGATGAAACCAAGAGAGTCACTGCCCTGTTCAGAGACCTCAGGAGACGTCTGGAAGACCTGGAGAAGAGAGTCCTGAGGGACATCTCCGGGTGGGCAGAGCGGGTCTCCCGTCCCATGTTGGATTATATTCGGGATCTGGAAATAAAGAAGGAGGAGCTGTCCAGGAAGATGAGGGACATTGAGGAGCTGTGTAACATGACGGATCCACTGACTGTCCTACAGGAATCAGACACAGGTGACTTGTGTGATACTGAGGATGGAGATGATGAGGACAGAGAGAGACATGAGAACCTCCTCCATGATGGAGGGGATGGGGATGTGGGGGGGATCTCACACACATTACACACGGGTTTATCTGATATCATGTCTGGGGTCAATGTACAGAAATGTACAGGCACACATGTCTCTCCACATTCTACTACAAAGGGCAAAGGTCCCATCAATGGTCCACCATCCAGGCCAGACCCCCAACCCTCCCCCACTGGAGGACCAAATATTGGGGCTGTACAGCAAACATGGGGGGTGTCGGGGGTTACAGACATATTACTGGATGTGAGGACAGCTGGTAATCATCTACATATATCAGATGACGGGAAAACTGCATCCTGGTCATCATCATCAGAATCGGCCAGAAACACCAGAGAGGTTCCAGGGTCCTCAGGTGATGAGCAGTCAGAGCTTCTCCTCCGGGAGACATTACTGGGAAGTGGATGTCGGGGGTCAGGTACTGGACAGTCGGGATGTGTTACCCCAATATAGACAGGAGAGGAGATCAGTCAGGGATTGGATATAATAAGAAGTCCTGGGGGTTGGAGAGGGTGGGGTGGGGGGGGGGGTAATCAGTACTCAGTGATACATGACAGTAATAGGACCCCATTCCCCGGCGGTGTCTCCAGTACCAGAGTCAGGATAGATCTGGATTATGAGGCCGGGCGGATCTCCTTCTATGATCTGTGTGACCCGATCCGACACCTCCACACCTTCACCACCACCTTCACTCAGCCCCTCCATGCCGGGGTATGTGTGTATGGGAGGTTGTATAAAGATATGTGGGAGGAGCCAGAAGTGAGAGATCCGCCCAGAGACATCACAAGGGGGATGATCTGATTGGTGATTGGTGCAATACTCAGCCAATAGGAGGAAGGGCAGGAAACAGGAGTGATTTGTGGAGAAAGCTGCAGGTTCCGGGGCCGTCATCTTCATCCTAAACCTCACTTCACTCCCTAGTGTGTCACTGACCAGGAACAAGCATGCAGGAGGTCCGAGTGTTCCGCCTCACTGGCTGCATGCTTGTTGTGGGTCAGTGACACCCTAAGTAGTGTAGCCAGGATGGAGATGATAGCCCTGGAGCCGGAACCTTCCCAGTGTATCTGTAGCCACAATGTGTGTTTTCAGTTTTGGATGGAGTGTGGAAGGATTAGAGCCCCTGTCAGTTTTTCCTGCTATCCAGGACTCTGTCAGAATGGTTTCCTTTCACTTCCTGTCCTGCTGACAACAATTTCCCCGACAGGAAGTGAGGGGGGAAGTCTCTCTGTATTGGAGCCCTGCATAGCAGGACCGTCCTGGCTAGACATGTGACCACCAACACATTTCTTT